TGCAACAGTCCTTCTCACTGGTCACACACTCCCAGGGGTTAGGCCTAGCTCCTCTCTGAGCCTTCAGCATGCCTGGTTCTCGTTAATCCCCCTACGTTTTACTGCTCCCCAGTACCTCACTGCAAGAAGCGCCATCCACGGGGTGCAGTGCATCCCACTGCTACCACCAGTTGTCACGGAGTTTGGGGGAGACAAGGCCCTGCACCTCCCACTTCCTGCGATTCACCGTGACTCTTGGCCAGCCAGTAAAACAGATGTTTATTAGAGGACAGGAACAGGGTCTAAAACAGAGCTTGTAGGTACAGAGAACAGGACCCCTCAACCGGGTCCATTTTGGGGGGCAGTGAGCCAGATAACCATGTCTGCACTTCACTCCACGTCCCCAGCCAGCCCCAAACTGGCTCACTCTCCAGCCCCTCCTCCTCTGGGCTTTGTCCCTTTCCCGGGCCAGGAGGTCACCCGATTCCTTTGTTCTCCAACACTTTTAGCTATCACCTTGCAGGGGGGAAGGGCCCAGGCCATTAATTGCCAGGAGACAGAGTGTCGGCCATTTATGTACACCGACCCTTTGCTCTGCAACAATTACACCCTGTAATAGTCCGGTGCGGGGGCCGCGCCCTCTCAGGGGGCCGTCGGGAGCCAGGCCGCCTCACTACACGGCCCAAATCGTGCCTCAGGTTCTGAAGGTCTTGGGGTTCCGCCCCTCAGGCAGAGGCTAAACAAAGGTACACGGCCTCTGTAAAGAGCTACAGCCCTCAGTCAGGGCTGGACAACAACCCCAGTTCGGGCTCCGGTTCTCGCGGCCGGAGCTGAGTAATTACAAAGTCAAATAAGCCCACACGCTAGCTCAGGGCAGCGACACACCAGGGGTCCAGGGGGGCTCAGAACCTTCCTGCAGGCTGAGCCTCAATAAAGCCAGTAGCTAAGGCCCGGCCCTCAATCAGGGCGGGGCAGCAAACACTTGTCCAGGGGGGCTCAGGTCAGTTTAGCAGGAGCTGAGCACTAACGAAGTCAGGAAGCCCAGGCCCTTAGTCAGGGCGGGGCAACAAACAATAGTTCAGGGGAGGATGCCGGAGCGCTGGCTGGAGAGGGAGGCTGCCACCCATAAGCGGGATGGCAAGGGGGACACAGGCCCACCCACTCCACTGTGTCCCAGCCCGGGGCCCTAAGAGCGGCAGTCAGTCTGCTGCTGTGTCAGTGGGGTCCTGACCGCAACACACCGACATTGGCTCTTCCTCTGCTGTAGCCAGACTGGGGTCGGCTACCCCCGGGCTACTTTCCATCTCCCCCTCCATGGGTACCTGCTCATCGCTGGGCTCAGCGGCTGGGTCCCACACCATGCGCTCCTCGGCTTGCTGAGCGCTGTCTAGGTCGGGTCGCTCCTCCGGTCTCGGGTCAGGGGGGCGCTTGGGCCCCTCCTTGGGGTACCATGCTCAGGGTAGGCTCAGCCAATCCACGTCGGGGTACCTGGCTCGGGGGAGGTTCGGCCAATCCACGTCGGGGTACCTGGCTCGGGGGAGGTTCGGCCAATCCACGTCGGGGTACCTGGCTCGAGGGAGACTCGGTCTGTCGGCATCAGGGTACCTGGCTCTGGGGAGGCTCGGTCTAGCAGGAGCTTGAGCCGTCTGTCCTCTCCGGCTGCCGGGCTCCAACTGAGTGCTGGGGCCTGGCTTTTATACTTCCTGTCCCGCCCCTTGACTTCCGGGGGGCGGGAACAGGTGGAGGTGGCTCCACCCACTTGGGTGCCTGCTCTGGTTCCTCTCTCTCAGTGGCCGTCGGGAGCCAGCCTCACTACACACCCCCTTATCTCACCACCTAGAAACTTAAGACATGCATGGGGAAACTGAGGCATCCCTACAGTATTCAGAGGAAACATTAAGAACTGTCCCACTTCGTCACATCCTCCCATGACTCTCCCCAGCTGTGAGCCGAGGGCCGGGCCTGCACCCCAGGGACGGGCGGGGGGTAAAACGCTGGAGCGACAGATGGGAAGAAGATTGAGTCAGATGGACATGGTTTGTGTCACCCCCACTTACTGCCTGTTTGTTTGTGAATCCAGAGGGGTCCTACCCCAAACCCTCCATCTCTGTCAGCCCCGGTGGGGTGATCCCTGTGGGGGGAAATGTCACCATCCAGTGTCGGCATCAGCGCCTGGGCATGAGGTTCCTCCTCTACAAGGCTGGAGATGGGAACTATCTGACTTACACAGACCCTGCTGGCTCTGAGGCTGAATTTCCCATCACCAGCGCCAGACGGGAACACGGTGGCAGCTACACCTGTCGTTATATGTACAGAATAGGACCAGCTGCCTACTCGGAGCCCAGTGACCCTGTGCAGATCATTGTAGCAGGTGAGGGGCCCAGCCAGCACCTCGGCTCCCAGCCCCACACCCAGCCAGACCCCCAGGGGTCTCCGTGAGCCCTGGTGCCCAGCAGATGGGATATCCAGCCCAACCAGTGCAGATCAGGTGAGGGGGGATATCTTGGCCCCATGGTGCCTTGGTGTCCTGGATCCCAGGGGAGACCCTGACCCTGTCTCTGTCCCATCGCTGACGCTCCATGCCGGGGACGGGGCGCGGTGGCTGTGTCGATGTCTGTCTCACGCCCCATCTCCCTCCCACTGCAGAGCTCAGCTCCCCCAAACCCTCCATCTCCCTCAGCCCCACCCGGTGGGGGTTGTCCTGGGGGGAGCCGCGACCATCCGGTGTTGGGGTCAGCGCCAGGGTCTGGAGTTTGTTCTGTACAAGGCTGGGCCAGGAACGCAGCAGCGCCGGGCAGGGACTTGGCTGGGGTCAAATTTCCCATCCCCAAAGTGAGCCGGGCAGATGGAGGCAGCTACAGCTGCTATTATCCCCCGACTCGGATCCCCACACCTGGTTGGAGCCCAGTGACCCCTGTGCAGCTGGTAGTAGCAGGTGAGGGGCCTGGCTCAGTGTCTCTGTTCCTAGCCCCAGGCCCAGCAGAGGGGACGCCCGGCTGGGGAACAGGGACGGAGTCACTAGGAGGTTCCCCAGCCAGGGGGGAGAAGCAGCTGCTGGAGATTCAGTGCTGAGGGAGAGAAACCCCTGCCCCCAGGGGAAGCTGCAGGCTCCCAGGCAACACATCAGTTAGGGGGTGATGGGCGGAGCTGAAGGTTTTAAACCTCTGTGTATAGGAGAGACTTACACAGTCCCCTACAAGTCAGAAGTGGTGCTGTGCACAGAACCCAGGAGTCCTGGCCCCCAGCCATCTCCTCCCCCGCTCTAACCACTAGCCCCCACTCCCATCCCAGATCCAGGGATAGGACCCAGGAGTCCTGGCTCCCAGCCCTCCCAGCAGAGAAGCCAGGCAGTGAATGGACCCTGGAGACTGGACTGGCCTGTCACCCGCTAGGGAGCAGAGCTCTGGGCCCCCAGGGGCTGGGGTTGCTCCGTGTCTCATGCTGTTAGCCCAGGGCTCAGAGGAAACTCTGGCCCCTGTGGAAAGGCATCCAGGAGCCCGTCCACAGGGCCACCGGGTCTGACCCACCCCTGAGGCCGCGTGGTGAGGACGGGCCCCAGGACTGAGTGACGGGGCCTGCGTCTCACGGCCTGTCTGCTTCCCACTGCAGAGCCCAGCTACCCCAAACCCAGCATCTCCCTGAGCCCCAGCGGGGGGGTCTCCCTGAGGGGAGCTGTGACCATCTGGTGTCGGGGGCAGCGCCTGGGCATGCGATTCATGCTGAATAAAGATGGACGCCATTTCCAAACTGTGGATTCGGACGGGTTTGAGGCTGTGTTTACCATCAGCAACGTGCGTTGGGAGGACGGCGGGAGTTACAGCTGCTCCTATCACAGCAGATCGGAGCCGTTCGCCGTGTCGTACCCCAGCGACCTCGTGGAGCTGGTGCTGAGAGGTGAGGAGCCTGGCTCGGCGTCCCCGTTCCCAGCCCCACCCCCAGCCAGTCCGTCACAGGGGCTTGGTGGCAGTGGGATGCTCAGAGCCAGGCTCTGCCGAGTCCTGACCCCGCAGAGGGGACGCCCAGTCAGGGAGCGGGGATGGAGTCACTGGGGGGTTCCCCAGCCAGGGGGGAGCAGCAGCCCCTGGAGACTCGGGGCAGGGAGGCTACTTTAACGCTGCCCCTTGTGCGTAGGAACCGTGAGTCGCTATTTAATCCCGTGATCCCATCCCCTCTATTCTCCAGGCCCTGCCCCAGGCAGTGCTCCAGCCAGGGCTGAATGAGGCCGGGGCTGCAGGAGAAGCAGTGACTTGGTGGACACGGCGCTGGGCTGGGACCCAGTAGATCTGGCCCAGCTCCTGGTGCAGCCACAGACTCTGTGTGATGGGAGCACGTCGCGGGTTTTAAAAGTGTCCTTCCTTGTGGGGAGGCCTCAATCTTGGGGGATCTCAGGCCGAGCGCCCACAAACCGAGACGCCCACAGTTAGTGGAGACCTCTGCAAATGCTGACCTCAATAGCGCTGGATCCCTTGTGTTGGGGGAGCATGAAGGGCCCCCGCCATGATCAGGGCCCTGTTGTGCCAGACGCTGCATAAACCCAGAGTAAAGAGAGTCCCTGCCCCAGGGAGCTCACTAAGGAAAGTGAATCTGTTTCCCCCCCATAGAATGGGGATAATGACACCTCCCTGGCTCTCGGGGGGCAGACTCCCTTCCATGCCTATGGCCGGCCGGGGAATCATAGAAGATTAGGGTTGGAGGAGACCTCAGGAGGTTCTAGTCCAACCCCCTGCTCAAAGCAGGACCAACCCCAACTAAACCATCCCAGCCAGGGCTTTGTCAAGCCGGGCCTTAAAAACCTCTAAGGATGATGATTCCACCACCTCCCTAGGGAACCCATTCCAGTGCTTCACCACCCTCCTAGTGAAATAGTTTTTCCTAATATCCAACCTAGACCTCCCCCACTGCAACTTGAGACCATTCTGTCATCTGCCACCACTGAGAATAGCCGAGCTCCATCCTCTTTGGATCCCCCCCTTCAGGTAGTTGAAGGCTGCTATCAAATCCCCCCTCACTCTTCTCTTCTGCAGCTGAAGGCAGGGTCGGGTGGGTGCCCGGGTCTGGCTCTCATAGCCTGTCTCCTGTGCGCAGATCGCAGCTTATCCAGACCCTCCATCTCTCTGAGCCCCACTGGGGTCACCGCCCCAGGGGCAGACGTCACCATCCGGTGTCAGGGGCAGCGCCGGGACGTGAGGTTCTTCCTGCACAAGGCTGGAGACCTGAACCCGCAGCGACACATGGACCCTGCTGGGGACGGGGCCGAGTTCCGCATCCCCACTGTGGGCCGGCAGCACGGAGGGAGCTACAGCTGCAGCTACCGGCTCCAATCACATCCCTTCGTCTCGTCACAGCCCAGCGACACCGTGCAGCTGGTGGTAGCAGATGAGAGGACCAGCTCCACGTTCTCGCTCCCAGCCGGACCCTCAGAAGGTCGGCACCCTGATGGGATGTTCAGAGCGGAGGTCCCAGTGCTAAGGGTTCCCCTGTACCCCTGTGCTTCTGCGGACCAGGGTCGGGGTGCTGGGGCTTCTCCCATCACTGGTCGCGGGGAGTTGGGGGCAATCTCTGAGTTGGTGTTTCAGCCCCTCCCCCCACCCTGACAGACGCTGGTTCTCTTTCTGCAGGGGGAACCGACCCGACCCAGCCTGGAGCAGCGCCGGCTCCCACCCGCCCGGGCAGTGCGGGGCCAGGTACTGGGGCTGGGGGGAATCTACTGAGTCAGAGATTATGGGGCAGCTTCCCCCAGTAGTTGCCCAGGGGGAGGGACCGAGGCTGTTCTCAGGGGCAGTGACTCCCCCCCACCAATGGATTTGGGAGGGGAGAGAAGCCTCCCGCTCAGACACGAACCCGCTGCTAACGGGGCAGCCGGAGGCTTCCTCTGGGGGCAGCTGGGCCCATCAGTGGTGGGGGTAGGGGTGCCCTGGAGCTCCCTGCGAAGCAGCCAGGAGCAGCCAGCATGGGAGGCGGGATACCGGGCTAGATGTGCCCATTGGCCTGAGCCGGAGTGGCCATGAGGAAGTGGGTGAAATGCCTTAGAAATTACGGCCAGGCTGGATCAGACAGTGCCCCCTAGTGCTGTGCTGGGCAATGGGGCCAGCTCTGATTGATGGGGAGAGCGCCCCCTACTGAGTCCCTGCCCTGCAGCCCAGCGCCCCCTAGCACTACAAATCCCCCAAATCTTGTTGCTCTGACCCCACTTGATGCCCTGGGCCCCCCCGACATCCTCCCCATCTAATTTTCTGCTGCCTGCGCCCTGCGGTGTCCCAGCCCCTTGGGCACCGCCTGGGGTGGGAGGGGCTGGGAGGGGGGAACAGACCAGCCGCCCCCGGCACTCACGGCTGCTGCTGTTTCCCAGGCGGATCGGAATCGCTGGAACCTATGGGTCCGACCAGCCCCATCATCGCCGGGGTGAGCGCGGCAGCCGCCGTCCTCCTCCTCCTCCTCGTGGCCTTCGTCTGCTTCCGAATAACCCAAGCCAGTGAGTGCCCCGCCCAGCGAGGGAAGGGTTAAACCTGCGGCTAAGCAGGGCGGGATGGGGTCACGGCTTGGATGAGGGACTGTGCCGGGAAAGCCAAGGAGCAGGGGGGGCTCAGCAGGGGGCACTGAGTGAGTAATCCCTGTACACACAGCTGTCCCACCCCAGAGGTGGCCGCATTTCAGCGCTGAGTGAGGGGTCCCTGTTTAACGAGCCCCTGGCACCGTGCTTCTCAGGTACCTGGGCTGCCACGGGAGCCACTGGCCTGTGGATCAGGTTCGTTATAACGAGTCACTAATGAGGGAGGTTTGGGGACCAGAAAAACCCCCGGAGTCAATCTGCCCCTCCCCCCGGTGCATGCTATGGTGTTGTGCTGCCCCCTGCTGGTCTGGCCCAGCCCAGCAGGGATCCAGGCTCAGCACCAGCAGCAGAGGGGAGCCCCCCCAGACCCCCCCATCCCTGCTGCCCTGTGGGGGTGAGTGGCCGGGTGCTGGGACCGGGGGATCCCGATTGGCTCATGGAGGATTCTGGTTTGTGTCCCTCTGCAGGAAAAGGAGCCGCACCGAGACCGAGCAGGTAGGAACCCGGCTCCTCCCCCCTCCCGCTCGACCTGCCGGGGTCACAGGGCTCCTGGGTTCTGTCCCTGGCTCTGTGTGTGTGTGGGGGGGGTAATGGGGTTGGGAGTCAGGACTCCTCAGAGATGACCTGGGCCTGCTGACAGTGGAGGGGCACAACCCCAGAACAGCTGGAGTCACACCACACCCGCCCCCCCTCCCGGAAAGCAGTGACCCCCCACGCTGCAGCTCCCAGCTGTTTCTCTGCTCCTGCCTCTGCCTCTCCCTGTCCAGCGCAGCTCCCCAGCTCAGCTGCTCCACAGGGAGGGGCCCGGCTGCACCATGTGACCGAGCAATCTGGGGAGGGTCATGTGACCCTGCATGCCCCCCCCCACACACGTTTCGCCTCTGGCAGGGGAGTGGGGTCTAGTGGTTGTGGCGGGGGGGGTTAGGGAACAGGGTTCAGTGTGAGGCAGGATGGGGGGCTCTCTCAGTGTGTTGGGGAATCTCCCTGCGGGTGGGGGGATATGACATTTACAAGGGGATTTTCTCTCTTTTAGCCCCAGCCCCTTGAGGGTATTGAAGACCCCGGCACAGCAAGACCCCATCTGTGAGTAACACACCCAAGGAGGTACCAGGGTGGGGCAGGACCCCTGGGGATGGGAGGGGCTTGTGGGGGCTCCACATCTGCTTCTGGGTGGGACTAAGGAGAAGGCCCCAGAGGTAGCTGGTGTCAGCTGAGCTTCTTGCCTCCCTCCACACCAACTTCCTGTGGGACACCCTCCCCTCCCCCTCTAGTTCAGTGTCTCCCTCTGTGGGCCCCCCATTCTCCCCCCCCTAAGCCTGGAGCGTTGTGTGTCCCCCCTTCACTTCTCCATTGGACCTTCCCAGCCAATAACCTGGGGAGAATCCCCATCCACTCCTGGCTCCCAGCCCCCTGCTCTAACCACTAGATCCCAGTCCCCTCCCAGAGCTGGGATGAGAACCCAGGAGTCCTGACTCCCAGCCCCCCTCCCGCCATAACCCCCTAGACGCTGCTGCCGTCTCTGTGCCTCAGTTTTCCTCTCTGTAACATGGGGCTAATGACCCTGGCCCATGCTGTGGGGCGGGGGAGGGGTGGCTGTGCTGGTCTCTGAGCCCCCTGGCTGGACAAAGGGGTCAGAGCTGGATGTGGGGTTCTGCTCTGGGCCGGCCGGGGGTGCAGCTCAGCTGGTGTCTCTGTTCTACAGACTCCTCCATCGATGAAGGGAAAGAGACGCAGACCCTGGTAAGTGTCCCTGTCCGCCCGCGGGCCCTGACCCCCAACCCTGACCCACATGGGCCCCACTCACCTTATCTGGCACACTCAGTATTTTGGGGTGGGGGTGGGGTTCCTGGGAGGTGCTTATGGGATCGCCAGCTGGGATTGCAGGGGTGTGTGTGAGTGTGTTTGTGTGTGTCCCTGTCACCCCCTGCTGGAGGGGACAAACCCTGCTCTGTGTGAATGTGTGTGTGTGTGTGTGTGTGTGTGTGTGTGGTGGGGGGTGTTTGGTGCACACAGACGCACACCCCAGTGACTCTCTCTCCTCCCAGCCCCAGAAGCCCGACCCCGGTGCCGATGGACTCACCTACGCCGAGCTGGACGGCTGGGCGCTGCACACTAAGCGGGGGGGCCTGGCCCCTGCCCCTGAGGCCGCCCAGTCCAGCGTTTATGCCGCAATCAATGTGAGCCGGGGGGCCCCGCAATGAGAGCCCTGCGCAGCCATGGGGTACCACCCTGAGGGGGCAACAGACTCACAGACTCACAGACTTTAAGGCCAGAAGGGTCCATCGTGATCATCTGGTCTGAGCTGCTGCACATCGCAGGCCACAGAGCCTCACCCACCCACTCCTGTAGCAGACCCCAGCCTCCGGCTGAGTCACTGACAGCTTCAAATCATGGGTTAAAGACGTAAAGTTTCAGAGAATCCACCACTGACACTACAGTAACTCCGCACTTAACGGTGTAGTTCTGTTCCTGAAAAATGCGACTTTATGTGAAACGATGTTAAGTGAATCCAATTTCCCCATAAGAATTAATGTAAATGGGGTGGTTTAGGTTCCAGGGAATTTTTTTCCGCCAGACAAAAGACATTATATACATATACAGTATAAGTTTTAAACAATTCTAAACAAACAATTGAATACTGTCCACAGCAATGATGATTGTGAAGCTTGGTTGAGGTGGTGAAGTCAGAGGGTGGGAGCCTTGCTGCTAAATGATGAACTAGCACTCGGCTGAGCCCTCAACGGAACATGCTGATGAGCCCACCCTATCCATGGAGTGCACCACTCCCTCCTCCTGACAGCGCATGCACGGCTGCGCAGGTGCTGACTTTCCAAAGTGCAGGGGGCTGCGTGCATGAGTGAGTGAGAGACAGAGAGAGAGAGGGGTGCATTGCCCCTTTAACTATGCTGACCCCACTTCAAGAACGTTGCCTGTTTAAGCAGATCAGGCAGTTCAGACAGGAAAACAACAGCTTCCAGCAAGCCCCCCCTCCCCCGTTCTGTCCCTGAGCCCTGTCCCCTCCTCCGCTTTGCGGAGAGGGGGTACAGAGCGGGGGACAGGAGCAGGGAGACATCCTAGGGTTACCATATGTCCGGGTTTCCTCGGACATGTCCGGCTTTTCGGTCTATAAAGAGCCGTCCGGGGGGAATTTGTAAAAAGCTAAAAATGTCCGGGATTTCCCCCTGGACGGCTATTTAAAGACCCAAAAGCGGCTGACAGTGCAGCCATGCTGGGGGGACTGTGGCAAGCCGGCGCCACTCACCTTTCCTCCCTGGGCCCTGGGGCAGTGCGCAGCTGAGA